AGGTGACAGCATCTAGTACCAATGTAAGTTTTTCTGTTGTACAGAAATGTGATACTTCCGTTGAAGAAAACGTTTCCAGCATAACAAAATCTGATGAATGTGAAAGTGGCCCTCAAAGTGTTACTTTCCGCCCATATGACATTGCACTTTTTTCAGAAGATATTACATTATGTTCTTAAACTTAAAAAATCAAATCAAAATTTAACTAAACAATGTTGTCTAAATAAAAAGTCAAAATTGTCTAGCTGTCTAAATTAGGGAAATAATAGTGCTTTATTACAAATTCGAATTTCTTTTAGTAGTTTCAGAAAATTACGAACACCCCCCTTGAAAAAATTCTGCGTACGCCACTGGAAGTTTTATCGTCTTCAGTGAATATGAGTTCCAATTCACCTGAGGATGGTAATCATTTCGAAGTACTTCAGTAGTTTCTACTATCCTCGACACTATCTATTATTTATTTTTATTTTTATAATCGACTTAGTTTACACCACCATTTGATCAACATAGTTAGAGTATGCAATTTCGTTAGCCTTTGCCGTAGTACGCTATTAAACGAGCCTTACTTTTAAGCAAATAAAGAACTTTTTTGTACAGATAGTATGGATTTAATTCTATATTTTTTTTTAAATGTTTATCCTTTAAATTTTTTTTCAGCAGAAAGTTTCAATATCCAGTGAAGATCTGATGGATTCTTATAACGTTTTACCGACCAGGGATCATGTGAAAACAACATTTGGTTCGGTTTTATCTTCAATTGAAAGTTTAAGAAGTCTCATAAATGAATGCCCGCTATCTAAAGCACTTTCAACAATTTACAAAACATCTTTACCTTCACGTGAATCTTTATTAAGTAGTGTTTCGGATCAAACGCTAATTTCTCCAACAAGCAATAAAACTTCTAATGAGGACTATAATCAAAAAGAACTTCTTCCAATATCCAGTAAGGATCTCACAGATTCTAAGGATTCTTTTTCGTTAAAAGAGGATCATGGAATCTATACGAGAACAGAGTCAGTTGAATCAGATTTTGCTTCGCTTGAAAGTTTAAGAAGTTTGGAAAATGGTTGTCCGCTATCTCTAGCACTGTCAACAAATTATAATGCAACACCATCTCGCGAATCTTTATTAAGTAGTGCTCCGGATGAAACATTATTTTTTTCTGCAAGCAATAGAACTTCTTGTGAGGACAATAATCAAAAGGGGCTTTTACAAATTTCCAGTGAAGATCCGATAGATTCTGATAATACTTCCTCGACTAATGAGGATCATGGAAATTATGAAAGAAGAAGTATATTTGAATTAGATTTCGCTTCGGTTGAAACTTTAAGAAGTCTAATAAATGGTTGTCCGCTATCTAAATCACTGTCAACAAATAATAAAGTAAATTCTTCCCTTGAAACTTTGTTGTGCAGTGTATCGGATCAAATATTACCCTCAAGCTATAAAACTTCTGATCTACGAATTACAACTATAAGCAATAAAACTTTTTATGAGGATAATAATCAAGGACTTTTTCCATTAATCAGTGAAGATCAGATAGATTCTAAAGATGCTTTCTCTGCAAATGAGGACCGCAAATGGGATACCGATACAATTAACTCGGATTTTGCTTCGGTTGAAAGTTTCAGAAGTCTTGCAAATGGTTGCCAGCCATCTAAATCTCTGGTAACAAATAATACTGCAGCTTCTTCTCGCAAATGTTTATCAAGCAATATGTCGGTTCGAAAATTAATTTTCCCAGCTAACAATAAAATTTCTTATGAATTCAATCAAGAGGGAATTTCACCCCACCAAGTTGCATTTTCGTACCAGAATACGCATGAAAATACCCCTGAAATATTGTTTACTTTAAGCCTCCCTAGTTATAATAGCAATCCCCGAGAAAAGTATATTTTTGATACAAAGTTAGAATCTGATGCTATGAATAAAACCATATCGTCGATATCCTATGACGATGGCATTGAAAAATTTTCGAAAACGGAATACGATTCTCAGAACAAAAATCAACCCAATTCGCATAAATTCAAAAACATCAATGTACCACGTTCTTTGCCGAATATTAGTCATTTTTCAGAAGAAGAAAACGCAGTTTTTCGGGGGAAATTAAGATCTTTAAAAACAATCTCGAATGCAACGAATTCACAAGATCTGTTAAGTAACACTTTTCAAAACACGAAATCATTTTTGTCGCAGAGTAATGATCTTTTCTCAAACGATGCATATGCAACTTCACCGGAAGATACGAAATCTAAAAAAGTATTCCAAAATGAAATTAAACCAACAAGTCACTTCAACCATGCTTTGAAAACTACAGAACAGATTTCTTTTCAGGATAATCGATTTCTTTTTTTAAAAGGTAGAGGCACACCATCTCTGGAAAAGCCGAGACCTTTAGACAGAATGTCAATGCCGAGTAACACTGAGCCATCAGGCCTCCCCAATCTTGCTTTACGAACCAAAAACAAAGACAACTCAAATGAAATCAAAGGGGAAAATACTAAAAAAAGCACGGTCAGCTTTAAAAGTACTGTTTCAAAATCTAGTTGGATTTCAAGATTAAACGGAATGGGAGAAGGGGATCAACAGTACGTTTCAAAATCGCAGCCTCACTTAGATGAAGATGAATTGGATCGCTTTGGTAACTTTGTTACCAATCAGCTGCGGAAGTTGCCTCTAAATAGCATCGTTACCTGCGAAAATGTAATCGTTGAACTTTTGATTAACGAGAGAATGAAAGTTATTACTGAGCTGGCAAGCACTAAAGTGCAGCATTTGACAAGTTGCCATGACCCTTGGTCTGAAAATTGTGATGAGAGCCTCAATTAGTAATAAGTTAAATCACCATGAAATATTAATTTTAAAAAAGTAACAATTTTTAAATGCAGAAGTTTTTACTAAATAGTTTTATAATATGAAATTTCTGTTTTTTTCTTCTTTTTTTTTCGTTTATTATGAACTGGTTCAACAATGTAAAATTTTAATTTTAATAAAAATTGTTATAATAATTTATGTTCATTTATTGTACGAAAGTTATAAATGTTTATACAGGGTGTTAGCAATGCTCAATCTTTTTTTTTTTCTTCTGCAATCTACATAAAAAATGCGAAAGTGCATGTTTGAGCTGCAAATAAATCTTTAGGAGAGACAAAAAACCATAAAACTCTGACGGATCATTATATAGAAAGTATGTAAAGGAATCCCTTCCAACAAACAGAACAACAAGCCTTTCCTTATAAGAAAACAGAAATTTCTTACTTTTTCTACAAGAGTTGTAGAAATTTTTTTCTCCCTTTAAATTAACAACGTTTCTCGAAACTATTTTATAATTTTACAGTTAAGATGGAAATATTCGATTTAATTCATTAATAATTTATTAATTTTTTCTAGTTATTTACTGTTGCACCAACACTAAGCTAGACACTGAGTTAATAAGTTATACACAGAAATGTTTCATGGTAAAAAAATAGAAATTTTTTTTTTTCTTCATAGAGTTCGACGCTTTTTAAAACTGTTACTATTTTACAAGTAAGATGAAACGTTCGATTTTATTTAAATTTTGTAAGTCAATCACACAAATTCTGAATTTTTCATGATTAAAAAAAAAATTTTTTTTCTTTCTTATCAAATATCGTCTTGCAATATTAATACCATTAGACTTATTTTAATAGTAGGTGCGATTTTATTTAATTACATTTTTATTTATTTACATTAGCTTCAAGAGAACAAGAACAAATACAATGTGTTAGTATAAATAGTTTCCTCAAAAGCGAACGATTTTTCAGGGGGAATTTTTCACGTTTATGACGTCATACCCTAAGTTTAATCATGAGATCAATATTTTCAAAAAAAGATCTAGTCGTGGAGGAGAGGGGCTGGGATGAGGGACAGGGCTTTGTACTGAGGAAAGGAATGGTGGCACGTGACGACCTTCTGGCACAGTGCCCAGAAACCTGTACATTACTTTCCTAACCTACCTCACGCCACTGCGTTTGTGAAGTGAATTGGTCTGTGTCTCAATTTCTCATTAATAGAATGTTTTAATAATTTTTAAATAAGATCTAAAACTATAAAATTAATTTTTTCTGTCTTTTTTTATGTCCGTTAATGTGTTTTTATTTTTAAAATTTTTTGTCATATTTCTTTATAAATTTTGAACTTAAAACTAAGATGTTCCAAATTATTTTTATTTTAATTTAAATTTTTTTTTTCAAGACTTGCATCTGTTACTTGGATTAGTCAGTCTAAGAAAAAAAATTTTTTAACGAAGAAAGCTATTATAAATTAATATGGGCTAGGGTTCTCTTACCATTATAGTTACAGTTTTAAATTCCATTATAATTTTAATGGAATTTAAAACTGTAAGGTTATTTGTATAAAATTTGAATAGTTGTATTGTTAAAAAAAATTCTTATTAATATGGGTTTAAGTTCAATCATTAATATAATAAGATTTAGATTTCTTATTAATATGGACTAGAATTCAATCATTTATATAGTTAAAAGAGTTTCATTTCTTATATAGTTAGATTTTACATCGTTTCTAAATTAACATCGGTTAGAATTCTAAATTAATATGGGTTAGAATTTCAAATTGATATGGGTTACAAGTTTATAATCAATTTTAATATAGAAAAACTCGAAATTAATTATGACAGAACTCTATTATTTATAAAGTTAATGTTCTTAATTTACATTGGTTGAAATTTTAAATCATGGGTTAGAGTTCCATAACTAAAACAGATTCTCAAAATAATATCGGTTACATGTCTATTTTAAAAATTTGGTTTGAATTTAATGTATATAGTTTGAGTTCCAAATTAATTATGATAGAGTTCCACAGTGGCGTATCTAGGGTATGGCAGGTATGGCGAGAGCCATGGGNTGAGTTCCAAATTAATTATGATAGAGTTCCATCATTATTGTGTAGGTAGAGTTCTATTGAATTGTTGCTGTTTACATTTTGAATACCTTCATTATAAACGACGAAAAACTTTTTGCTAATAAAACTTGCTAACAGGATCCTTGTCTTCTATGTTAAAATCAAAAGAACGCAGAAACGATAGTTTATTACCTTAAATCTCTTATTTGAATAGGATATAAAGAGAACAGAAATAACCCTTCGCCAATTAGCCCATCAGCAGAAATAAGTAGATAAGTACATGGTGTATTGATAATATTAACTATACAAATAATGTATTTTAATAACAAATAAATGGCATATTCTATAAAAAGATTTTTACAATTAGGGAGAAAAAAAGAACTATATGATTATTCATACAGAGTGTTTTACAAAACAAATGGTCACAACTTTAGGGGCCGATATGAGGGCATCTACTTGGTGAAAATGAAGAAAACAAAGGATAAAGAATCTTTATAATTGAAAAGTTTACAGCAAATGCAATAATGGGCGACAACCAGCTGCAATACAGCTTACACGTCAATTGGAGGAGTGAATGGAGCTGCAACATACATTTGATTGTGCAATGTGTTGTTTTGAAATCGCTTCTGGAAAACCAAGAACAAGGAGACATTCTTAGAATCTTGTGGAAGGACTAAATGAACGTTTACAAATACAGAATCGAAACTGTGACGTAACAGAACTTCCAATGTTCCATATTTAGCTACATATATGTACGCTTCGACAACTAGCCTTTGATGAATATGACAATCGGTTTTTGTATTCACCTGTTACACTTACTGACTTTTATATCGACGATATTTTATCAAAAGATTCAAATTTAGAAAGGGCAAATATACTTCAGTCACAAACAATAATACTGTTTGAAAGCAGTGGTATAAAATTTCATAAAATAACATTTCAACCGTTTAAATTTGCTTACACGTTGAACTCGTGAAGGTACAGATGATAAATTTTCATCATCGACTAGAATCACACTTAGTGATGGCTTTTAGATGTTCTTCAGAATCCCAAGACGGATTGTTTTTCGTATACTGTGACTGTTTCAAAAAAATACTCTTGCCATAAGCGAGATGTTCTGTCTCACATATCGGAGATATTCGATTGTCTTGATTTGATGGGTCAAATTGTCGCAAGAACTAAAAATGCGGCCTTCCAAAATTAATTGGTTCCAGAAGAACTGCCAAGAGAGTGAGATAGTCGTGCAACCAACCATTCAGAATTTTAAAAGACTGATATTTCTACATATATCTTTACAGAAAATCACAATATAGTTACATGACTTTGTTGTAGCTTCTTGATTGGCTTGATGTTCAACCATTATCCGATCTTATTCTCCTCCGAAACATCTTTACAGCATACCTCGCGTAGCACTGATAAAATTTCTTATTATGCCCAGATGAGTATTGCGCGATTGCCTATTACTGTCTAAACGAATCGGTCATTGCGATTGAGGAAGTGATTTTATGGACAGATTCACTCGACGCATATTTTTGTACAGTGCACAAAAGAATAATAATGGATCATCCTGAATAACTTTTGATTTGATGATCGGATCTTCAGGTTCTAGGACTCAATCTTAATGGCTCAAGGAATGACCTCAAATATGCTAAGTAATTGTGCAGACGATATTTTAAGTTACGAAATCAGACACGTACTTTCTCTGAATTAACGTACCTTTTTTTTCAACTGATTCGGATTTCTGACCCCCAAAATATAGGGCGTAGTCGAAGTTTGGACCCGTTAATGTTTCTTTTTCCGTATTTTGCCATTTCTCAAAAACCTAAGCGAATTGAAAATTTTTTACTCACAATTATAAAATAACTTAAGTAACTTTCTTTAATAATAGTCCGAAAACTTTTGATTTGTATGATATACGTTATTTTAAAGTATGTTATGTTACATGGCAATATACAAAATGTGTTCAAACCCGGCTAAATAGTTCCAGAGATATCGAATTTCAAATGTTCGACTTTTTAAAAATGTCTAGACTTTCAGGAACTATTCAACCGTTTTCGCCCAAATTTTGTATTATAGTATATAACAGGGGTGGCCAAACTTCATTCAAATGTCAACATTCCTTCTAGCTTACTTTTCTTAGAAAAAAAAAAAGGAATAAATTATTGGTAGATCGTGTTAATCGGTCTGGAGTCGGTCGATTACGGACAATTACGCCATTGTTTATGTTCGTTCACGCAGTTTTCGATGAGTCATATCATTTTTAACTTGGACGGAAATAAAATTTGTTACAATGTTGCTCTTAGTCTTTCATATCTGTTGTGAGTAATTTAAAAGGCACTTTGAAGCTCGCGAGCCGCATGCGGCTCTTTAAAGGATTATTTATGGCTCTCGATAAATGTTGCCGAGTTCCCTTTTCATTTTTTTGCTATTATATTTTAAAAAATTATTATCGTTCCGTATGTGTTTCAAACTGCCTTTTAAATTACTAGCAACAGATATGAAAAACTAAGAGCAACATTTCTATCTAAGAGTAACAAATTTTATTTGCGTCCAAGTTAAGAATGATATGACTCATCAAAAACTGCGTGAACGAACATAAACAATGGCGTAATTGTCCGTAATCGACCAACTCCAGACCGATTAACACGATCGACCAATAATTTATTCCTTTTTTTTTCTAAGAGAAAGTTTTTTTTTTCTAAGAAAAAGTAAGCTAGAAGGAATATTGACGGAATTCCAATTTCAAGATAGATTTCAAGACTTGAAATATTTTAAATCGTCTCTTGATTTTTTTCGGAATCCATTTGAAATGAACATATTTCAAGGTGAGTGTTTTTCATTTCCAATATAATTATGACCCAAAAAGCATCTGGAGAATTAGAATTAATAGAGATGCAGGAAGATCAAGCTCTACAATTAAAATATAAGTCGACGTCGATTACTGAATTTTGGAAATGTGTACCAGAATAGCTGTATCCTGAAATAAAAGAGGCTGCATGTCGAATTATTTCAAGA